TCACCACCGCTGGCCCGTGACCGGGCTCGCTGGCCACCGCCCTGTCCCGCCCGCCCGGCCTCCCCTGCGGCCACCGGCACCCGGCGGTGACACTTGCTGGGACACAGTGACATGCAGCCAGAGACACCTGCTTTATTGGCCTCCGGGCCGAGGCCGGACTCTGCGCCCCGAGCACGCGGCGGCCCCGGCCCGGGGCGACACGGGGTCCCCGGGCGGGCGACACAGAGCAGGGCCCTGGGGACCCTCGGGCCCTTCTTCCTGGGGGGCGGAGGGGTCCCCGATGTCACCGCCACGGAGCCGGGGACGGCGGCGGCTCCTCAGCCCTGCGGAGAGAACGGGGGACAGCCGGTCACTGGGGGTCCTGCTTCCCCTGTGACTCAGTTTCCCTCCTCCCCAGCCGGGCCTCCCCCTTGGGGGTGGAACCCAAGTCCTCTCTGTCCTCTTTTTTTTTTGTTGGGACAGAGTCTGGATCTGTCGCCCGGACTAGAGTGAGTGCCGTGGCGTCAGCCTCGCTCACAGCAGCCTCCGACTCCTGGCCTCCAGCGATCCTCCCGCCTCGGCCTCCCTCCCGAGTAGCTGGGACTCCAGGCACGCGCCACCACACCCGGCTCGTTTTTTCTATTTTTATTTATTTGGTTAATTTATTTCTATTTTTACTAGAGACGGGGTCTCGCTCTGGGCTCAGGCTGGTTTCAACCTCATGAGCTCGAGCGATCCTCCTGCCTCGGCCTCCCTCCCGAGTAGCCGGGACCACAGGCATGCGCCTCCACGCCCGGCTCAGTTTTTCTCTATCTGTTTTTAGTTGTCCAGCTCATTTCTTTCTATTGTTTTTTTAGTAGAGACGGGGTCTCGCTCTTGCTCAGGCTGGCCTCCAACTCCCAACCTCGAGCGATCCTCCCGCCTCGGCCTCCCCAGTGCTGGGATGACAGGCCTGAGCCTCTGCTCACACCGTCGTCCCAGCAGTGAGTTTTGTCTCTACTAAAAAGGCAGAAAAAGGCAGGGAAGGGGGGTGGGGGTTGGGGGGTGACCCAGAAACCCCCCGACAGGTGACCCGGGGCCCCCGCCCCTCCCCCGCACCCCCCGAGGGGCCTCACCTTGTGGGTGACACTCACGGTGACGCAGCGCCGGTAGGCCTTCACCAGCTCCGAGCACAGGAGCACCTCGCGCGCGTGGTCGCCATAGCAGCGGAGGATCTGGGCCTGGAGGCCCGAGCACACGGGCTCCAGCCCGCGGGGCCTGCGGGTGACAGGGTGACAGGCGTGTTGGGGACCCCGCGACCGCCACCAGCCGTCCCCCCTCCGTCTCGAACCCGCAGGGGGGAAAAATAATCATCACTGTGCCGTTTGCTGTTCTAGAAACGACGGCCGGGAAGGCCGCAGGACGGACGGCGGCCTCAACTCAAACCGCAGGGGAGGCCCGGCAGGGAGGCTCGGGCCTCTACCCGGAGGCCCTCCAGGATGGGACGGGCCAGCTGCCTCCCGTGGGCCTTTCTATTTTGGGGGCAGGGGCAGGGGGACAGAGTGTCGCTCTGTCTGTCGCCCGGGCTGGAGTGAGCGCCGTGGCGTCAGCCTCGCTCACAGCAGCCTCCAGCTCCTGGCCTCAAGCGATTGATCCTCCTGCCTCGGCCTCCTGAAAGAGCTCCTCTTATTTTATTGTATTGTATTTTATTTTATTTTTTTTTTTTGAGAAAGAGTCTAACACTGTCACCCGGGCTAGAGTGCCGTGGCGTCAGCCTCCCTCACAGCAGCCTCCAATTCCTGGGATTGAGCGATCCTCCTGCCTCGGCCTCCCGAGTAGCTGGGACTCCAGGCATGCGCCACCACGCCCGGCTCATTTTTTTTCTATATATTTTTAGTTGTCCAGCTCATTTCTTTCTATTTTTTGTTTTTTAATAGAGACGGGGTCTCGCTCTTGCTCAGGTTGGCCTCCAACTCCTGGCCTCGAGTGATCCTCCTGCCTCGGCCTCCCTCCCGAGTAGCTGAGACGACAGGCATGCGCCACCACGCCCGGCTCATTTTTTCTATATAGTTTTGGTTGTCCAGTTCATTTCTTTCTATTTTTTTAGTAGAAACGGAGTCTTGCTCTTGCTTAGGCTGGCTTCCAACTCCTGACCACCATCGATCCTCCTGCCTCAGCCTCCCTCCTGGGTAGCTGGGACTACAGGCACGCGCCACCACGCCCGGCTCATTTTTTTCTCTATATATTTTTAGTTGTCTAAATAATTTCTTTCTATTTTTAGTAGAGACAGGGTCTCGCTCTTGCTCAGGCTGGCCTCCAACTCCCGACCTCAAGCGATCCTCCCTCCTCGGCCTCCCAGAGTGCCGGGATGACAGGCGTGGGCCTCCGCGCCCGGCCCCCAGGGACTTTCTGTGCCGTGATTTACCCGTGACTGTGACTATGTGATTCACACACATCCACACGGCCTGTTATTCCCGGATTTTGAAACCAATGGCGTACAAGAAAATTGCAACCCCACAAAAAACACGCAAGAAAAGGAATTGCACAAGTTTCCCAAATTCAGCTTCTTAGCCGAAACTTCTGCCATACTTGAGGCCACTTTGCTAACTTTTCTTCTAATTTGTTCTAAACTATTTTCTACCCTAATTTCCTTCCTAAAACTAAATTGGTCGCAATAGTTTTGGAAGCAAACAAGCGCACACAGCACGGGAAATATTCGCTTTTCTTAAATTCGCGAAGCCCAAAAAACGAATGAAAAAAAATCTAGTAGATCATAGCGGACGCGGGAGGCTCACGCCTGTCACAGCATTCTGGGCAGGCCGAGGCGGGGAGGAATCGCCTTGGAGGTCGGGAGTGGAGGCCAGCCTGAGCAAGAGAGGAGACGTCTCTACCTAAAAAAATACAGAAAAAATTAATGCCAAAACTAACAAATACATAAGAGAAAAAACGAGCGGGCGTGGTGCGCATGCCTGTCGTCCCAGCTACTCAGGAGGGAGGCCCTGAGGCAGGGAGGCTCCGCTGGAGGCCAGGAGGTGGAGGCCCAGCCTGAGAAAGAGTGGAACCCCGTCTCTCTAAAAAAAAAAAAAGAAATGAGCTGTGACAGACTAAAAATATAAGAAAAAATGAGCGGCGTGGTGGCGGCATGCCTGTCGAGTCCAGCTACTCGGGAGGGAGGCTGAGGCAATAGCTAGCTGAGCAGAGTTGAGGCCAGCCTGACAAGAGCCCAAGACCCGTCTCCTACCTAAAAATAAAAAGAAATGTAGCTGGACAACTAAAAATATATAGAAAAAAATAGCTAGGCCCGGGCCGGAGGGCTCACGCGCCTGTCAGTCCGCCAGCACGCCCGCTCTGGGAGGCCGAGGCGGAGGCTCGCTCGACGAGTCGGGAGTTGGAGGCAGCCTTGAAGCAAGAGCGAGACCCCGGTCTCTACCTAAAAAAATACAGAAACAAAATTGAATTGGACACTAAATATATTTTCAATAGATTCTCTCCCTCTGCACCAAGCCTGCCGTCATCAACTGCATGGATTCTTCACATGTGACTCATTATGTAGGATATTTTTGCATTTATCCTAAATTTAACTTCTTATCAAAGCTCAAGAGTGATGATGGCCAAGCCTGGTTTTTAACCGTTTTTGCACCTGGCTCCCTATGGCAGATCTTCGATTTCCGTCCCTCTTTAAATGCTCACCGGTCTTTCTCCGCATTAAGCAGGTACCTCCTGCTCTACACTGTTATCAAGCTCATCCTTTGAGCGACCTCATCTACAACCACGGGTACAATCGCCACCCTAGAGAAAAACGCACCGGGCGTCCGAGGCGAGCCTCTCGTCCCAGCCTACTCGGGAGGGAGGCCGCAGGCGCGAGCGAGGAGTCTCTGCTCCTGCGCTCGTCGCAGGGTCAGGCAGTTTGAAACCGACTGACCCGAATGATGCGAGCACTCTGTCCTGCTCTTCATTTGTTAATTCTCTTAGAATAAACACTTTAGACCATAGAGGGCGTGTCTCAAAACGGACTAACAATATAGCACACACATGAACCTGTTCTACACAAGATATAAGAAGTGTAGACCACGGCGGAGGAGAGGTTTTCCTTCCCGTTCCTGGTGGTCCCCGTCTGCGCTGCCTGTCGCCTCCCCAGCTACTCTTCTGGCCTTGCGAGGACGCTTCACTGAGGCGGATGGCTGTCTCTTGCTGCACTGGCCTTATGTCAGTCGGAGGTGCTGCTTGAGTCTTGCGGTCTTCGCGGATTCCTTTGTCGCGCGCCCTGCGTTCACTCCCCCAAGCTCGGCGACCTCAGATCCGCTCGATGCAACTTTCTTTCATTTCTCTCTCTCTCTTTTCTCTTCGCCGTTCTCAAAAAATCACATATATCATAAATACCACCTAAAAGGCTTTCTATCCCCTCCTGTTCTCGGTTTCCTGCCCAACCCACACAACCAATATCCACCCTTCCGCTCCATATGCCTCTTCTCTCTCCCTGTGGTCTCTCGTAAATATCCTTTCCTTTCCTTTCCTTTCCTTGTCTTTACGTTTCAACGCTCATCAAGTTACTTTCTTTTTATTCTCTCTCCAACGAACCTCGCATACGCGTACGTCCTTTCCGCAGATGATGTGTGAGACCGGAATTGCAACAAAGCCCCCTGTTCATTGACTTGGCGGAACAGTACCGTGAGTTTCGTGCTCCTACACTTTTGCTTCATGTGCCTTCCCACCTGGGCCGGAGAATCACCGTGCAATCCCGACACCATTAGTGACTTCTCCGCGTCGAGTCCGTGCAATCACCTTGGTATCCCTCCTTCCCGCTTCATTTTGCCGAATCGCAGGGTTTTCTGGACCCCATCTTTCGAGCAAGCATGGCCGTTCGGCTGGCTTTCTTACATTTTTTTTCCTTTTTGTCGTCTTTTCTTTATGCACCGCGCGCGACCAACCATGTGACCGCACTACGCGCATGCCCCCCGACACCGCTGCGCGACCATCGTTGCGGCACCCCCCTCATCCCAGGGAGGGTCCGGAGACAGCCTTAAGTGTTGCTCTGCACCCTTTGCCTGGCCAGTTGCCCTTTAGAGAAAAAAACACCTTCTGTCAGGGCCTCCCCTTGCCCTTAAACACTACAATTCAGACCCTCAGCGCTGAACTAACACGCCGCCTACGCGACCCGAAGTAGGATTGATAAAAAAAGAAAAAAGAAAACGAAAAAGAAGTTATATATACAGCACCACTAATTCTAATTCTCTATATAACAGCAACTATATTATCCACATTAATTTATATCCAACAACCTATCAGTTTACAGATCAGCAGAACAAATAATTAAATAGTCTCCTACGCAGGGCTTTAGATGAGTCATGATGCTAGCTAGAATCTCATCTGGTGACCAATTGCGTCTCTCTTTGGTTCGAGACACGGATCGTTCTGGCTCTTGTCCGCCCAGAGCCTCCGCTTTCGGCAATGCAGTGCGTCGGTCTGGCGTCAGCATACCCCCTCGACACTCCCCAACAGACAGCCATCCCCGACTCCTGGCCCTCCAAGCAGAGCCCCTCCCGACCAGCCTCAGCCTCCGGTGAAGCTCCACAAGAACGTAGCCCTCGCGACCTACGACAGGTCACGCGCGCTCCACCGCCGACCGGAGACCTTTTTCCTCGTTTTTTTTAGATTTTCCTCTATACTTTGGAATGCAGTCTTTCCCTTTCTGACCCCTCTTAACCGTTGACATTCCCTGCTCATCTTCTTCTTCTATCTTTTTTAGTAGAGACGGGTCGCTCTTCGCTCAGGTGGCCATCGAATCCTGATTAGGATTCCTCTCCGCTGGTCCATCATCCTTCTGAGTCTAGGACTATATCGTGTCGTGCACCGACTAAAGATTACAGCAATGTGGATTTCCAAGGATCGCCCGGGGCTAATTTCTTTGCTCTAACGTATTAGACAGTAAGTTACTAGTAGTCATAGGTGGTTATAGTATAAATTTTTTAGTTGGTCAAATTAATGTTTTGTTCTATTTTTTTAGTAGAACGGGGTGCTCGCTCCTGTGCTCAGGCCTGGCCTCCCCCAACTCCTGGCCGTAGCGATGGCCCTCCCCAGCCTTCGGCGCGTCCTCCAGAGCGCTGGCGTGACTAGGCGTGAGCCTCCCCGCCCTATGGGCGGTTGGGGACGCCCTGTTTCAACATGAGGTCGTCGTAGAAGTGTCGTCTTTAAGCTTCTAATGAGAAATGCACGGGAGGGCGACGTGTTTGGAAGAATTGTCCTCATCAGAGGGTCAAAGCACCTCAAAAAAGGCGAGG